TTATTTACTTCTTAATGTATATTTAATTCTCTAAGATTTTGTGATAAAATAATGGTAAAAATAATTCATCTATTAAATATTATGTCTGTATTTTTTAATAATTTCAAATTACTCACTTATTATTAAATGATTTATATCAGGGGTTAGATATCATTTTTATTTTTCTCCTTTTTTGTAAACATTTTGAAATATTTTATCTAAAATTTTAAATACATATTTAAAAACAATTTCTTTTCATACAATATTTAAAAAAAATTACTTTAACAACAGTATTAATATTTTGTTAAATTAATGTTTATAAGAATACTTAAAATAACTATGATGATTATGATATATTTTTATTGGGGATTATGATTGTAATTTAAATTAATATTATCTAGAATTTTTTATGTTGTTATCCTTAGGGCTTGTAAAAATTAATTTTAACTGTGAAATACTTAAAATAATTATACTCATCACAAAACAATGTGTTTGTATAGACAGACATAATACTTTGAATAATTTTAATTCTTCTACTACTTACTAGAGTATTTAAATTTTGTTTTTACAAATACATTTTAAATCGTTGATTTATGTTTTTTGTTTATACTATTTTTTTTTAGTTTCATTTCTCAAACATTTTCCACCCCTAGTTAATGTATAAATTATTTTGTACTTTATTTTATACTTACTATACTGTAATCTTTTTTTAATTGAAATATAATATAAAAATGCAATTTTAACTCCATTTATATTTTTAATTGAATTTATTACTTGAAATCCAATACATATTTATTAGCAAATTGTGCCATAGAGTATGGATGTTTCTTATATAATAAGTATAATATAATTGTTAATTTATTAAACAACAAAGTTATATAACTGTAAAGATCACGAATCAAGTACTACTGCACTCTACACTATAGATAACATTTTGTTGGTAGTGTGCAGTGAGCTACCATATTGTGTTAAGTATAATGTTAAGTCGGTACTACTGTAAATGCTGCGATGAATATGTTGATGACAGTTATAAGAAACACTCCGAGGACTACATAGTTGTTTAATTTGATGGTATCCACTTTGGTTATTTCATTGGACGTGCTGCAACTGATACAAGTCATCCGACCTTTGAATATGAGACAAGTTCCAACAATCACCTACAACGTGAGCCATAAGCAACACAATAAACAGTTAAAGTATAGAAAATAATTCCATAATACAGATATAGGTAACAGTTAGAACATTATGCTGGGTATATTACATTTTTTATACATTTTGATAAACAGTTATATTTGTTTGTTATAATTTAAAAAAATATTAACTGTTGAAACTTGTACCATTCTACGTTTATTCAAATTATCATTTYTTGTGCTCAATACATTTTTTTAAATATTATTACTAATATTTTAATCTATTTTTTATTTTTTTTATTGTAAAGTGTTGATAAAAATGATAATGCTTACTCAAAATGCTTGAAAATTGAATAATTACAACTACTATGTACCTAACTCCTTCTTAATTTTTTAAGATAAAGAAGGTGCATTAGGTAGGTACTTGTACATTAGCTGATTTGATTTCTATAATTTATTCGAGATGCGGTTTTATAATAGCATAGTTTTTTGTCCAAAATAATTGGTATAATTTTAAAATTATTTAAAAATTGAATTCTATTTTTGGATTGGTTAATGATATTTCAACAATTAAACGTTTGTTAAATTGTTTTTATAAAATATTAAAGATATTAAAAAAAAATGTTTAAAATATCGCAAGCCGTCAAAAATATTATGTTTGAATTGTTTGCTATTAACAATTTTTATATTTTATCGTATTGAATTCATGCACAAAAATACATTTTTTTAAAGTATTGAATTCGTTTATCTGTTTAAATTTAAAATCTATCTAATACAATTTAAGCCCCTTGATTAAAATCTAACTGCATTTTTGAACACACGTGGCTTTACGTATAAGTATTAAGCACTCGACTTTCCAGTGTTTATTTAACACCGTAATAAATGTATTATACTTATTATAGTTCCTACTTGTAATATGAGGCTGCACGCAATCAGCACCAACAGTATAATGAAATTTGTAGAGTTGACCCCGCGGAACTCTAGTATGTATCGTAGTTGATTAGCGTTGGCTGTGAGTAGCGCGATGTCCATCATCCCCTGCGCCATGTTCTTCTTGGTGTCATACGTAACATTACTTACCTTGCTCAACGACCTGGACAACAGACGAGTGGTGGAACGCTTACTATTTTCGTCGTCGTTTTTACCATCATCCATTTCCAGACTGGTGTCCTCCGTAATAATCGTTTCCTCCATCATTATTGAGTGAAATCCATGTAATGTAAGCATAAAATTCAATCGTGTATTATAATAATATCGTATACATAGTTGAACACCATTATTATTATTGTTKTTGTTGTTGTTGTCGTTGTCGTTATTGTTGTTGTTGTTAATATATTATAATATGGGTCACCGATATACTTATATTAGTTATTACTGTCATTACTGCGCTGTGAGATAAAACAGGACGTGTGGGACACCGCAAAAGATACACCATAATATCTGAGAATCAAGTACGAGTGATACGACCGACAATGGTGACGGCTAACAATAATTTATGATAAATAATAATTGTTTTTTATTTTCTTATCGAGGACATTTAGACATTAGTATAAATTATACGATATTGAAGTGATGTCATTTTTATAAATTTTACTTTACAATTTTTATAACATGAAAACTTATAGTAAACGCTTTGAATTTATATCTTATTTGTAATACACTTATACACTTAAATATCTAATATTTTATATGTATAATAAACTAATTTACGTAGTATGAAATCAGTAGGACCTGATGGTATTTCAGGTTAATTTTTGTATATGATGCGTGCATTTATATCTTATCCATTATGGATTGTTTTTCAAAAATCACTAGATGAAGATATCTAACCAGATTTATTCAAACTTATTGCTGTTAAATCAATATTTAAGTCTGGTGAATGGTGATAGTTCCAATGTTACAAACCATAGACCGATATCGATATCAAGTCACATAATAGTAAAGCTATTTAAATCATTAGTCTTACGTTCTATTACAGCAATAATTAATTCTATTCTAATTGATGAACAACATGGTTTTCGCCCAGATCGATCAACAACCACTGACAGCCTAGATTTTCTAGCAATTTGTATTAGTTTTTTTGGTGTAAAGTTTGGTATCATCAATGTACCATTTGGCGTTCCACAG